TTCGGCTTCCAAAAATATTGGAAGGAATATCCAGTTTCATCTTTCCCATTCAAACTGGACAGGGACCTCATCTCTCCCTTATTTTGACTGGAGTGGCAAGTCAGAGCCACCACTTTCTGATTGGTTTGTATAGAGGGAAAATAGCCCATCCTGAGTTTTTTAAAATCCTTTTGAAGGAGCCCACAAAATTTTGTCAAAGGCCAGTTCTTTCCATGCCACTTCCAGCATTCTAGAGCTTCACATGTGTTCTCCTAACTGGATTTATAGTATGGAGGGGAGGTTGTGTAAAGAAAATAAATATTTTTTACATCTTGTGACTAGATAAATGCATTCTGGTCTGGTTCTTGGTTCTTGTCCCATTAGTGTGTGAGAAATCAATAAGAAGAAGAAGGAGAAGTAGTAGTAGTAGTAGTAGTAGTAGTCGTCGTCGTCGTCGTCAAGGAAAGCCAAGAACCTGCTTTAATTGAAGTCAATAATCGGAAACTTCTCAAAGCACAGCAGACATAGAGTCAGTACAAGAAAACTGCACTCCAAACCAGAGCTGACAGCTGGCACAACAAAGCCTTACATGGGCAGTTCCTTGAGAGGATTGAAGGAAAAGTTGACAAGGAGAAGACCTGGTTATGGCTCATGAATGGAACCCTGAAGAAGGAGACAGAAGGCCTGATACTTGTAGCCCAGGAGCAAGCCATCAGAACAAATGCCATTAAGGCCAGGATTGAAAAATCAGCAGATGACCCAAAATAATAACAATAACAACAACAACAACAACAACACTTTATTTATACCCCGCTACCATCTCCCCAAGGGACTCTGTGCGGCTTACATGAGGCTGAGCCCAAACACAACAATACAGGCAATAATCACAACAATACACGCAATTAAAATAAAACATGAATGATAAACATATAACATTATCAATAAGACAACATATAGTTAAAACTGTGGGAAGGCCAAATGTAAAAATTAAAATTGGAATAGTGCTGAGGCCTGGACGAAGAGGTGATAGTGGCGTTTGTGGAAGACATACGAGCAGACCTAAAAGTGTAAAGTGCTTTGCAGGACAAAGTGCTATGGGATCATTATTCCGGGAAGGCACACTGGAACAGCCACGTCTTTAAGCTCCTCCTGAAGACTGCCAGAGTTGGGAAAAAGATGAGCTGACCATGTCTTGTCCACTTTTTATGAAAGCTTTCTCCGTCTGAGTCTGCAGTCTGCTTTTCATTCTCTCAGACCCCTTGTACACTGCCATATAAAATCCAAATGATCTGCTTGAAACTGGATTATATGGCAGTGTAGACTCATATAATTATATGGCAGTGTAGACTCATGTAACGGCGCTCCATGCAGTCATGCTGGCCACATGACCTTGAAGGTGTCTATGAACAATGCCGGTTCTTCGGCTTAGAAATGGAGATGAGTACCACACCCGAGTTGGACACAACTGGACTTCATGTCAGGGGAAAATCTTTACCTTTACTCATATAATCCAGTTCAAAGCAAATAATGTGGATTATCTATTTCGATAATCTGGAATATATGGCAGTGCATAAGTGGCCTCAGAAATAGCTTTGTTAGAAATCCCATTTGATCATTTTAAAATGTTGTGTTCTTAGGTTTTGACACTGCTTGCCCGAGAAGGATTTGTTCACTAAGGACCTGATTGTATTGGAAAATACTCCATTTTAATCAGTATAGGTTAAGGTAAAGGTTTTCCCCTGACATTAAGTCCAGTCGAGTCTTGACTCTGGGGGTTGGTGCTCATCTCCATTTCTAACCATAGTCACCTCCAAGGTCATGTGGCCAGCATGACTGCATGGAATGCTGTTACCTTCCCGCCGGAGCAGTACCTATTGATCTCACATTTGCATGTTTTCGAACTGCTAGGTTGGCAGAAGCTGGGGCTGACAGCAGAAGCTCACGCTGCTCCCCGGATTTGAACCTGCGACCTTTCGGTCAACAAGTTTAGCAGCTCAGTGGTTTAACCCACTGAGCCACCGGAGGCTCCTCTTTAATCAGTATATATCTCATATTTTTTTAGGACTGGATATATACTATATTCAGATGGGATGCATACTCCCTCCCCCCATCACACCCAATAACTATGATTCTTATGGGTTGTTGTAGGTTTTTTCGGGCTATATGGCCATTTTCTAGAGGCATTCTCTCATGACGTTCCGCCTGCATCTATGGCAAGCATCCTCAGAGGCTGTGAGGTCTGTTGGAACTAGGAAAATGGGTTTATATATCTGTGGAATGACCAGGGTGGGACAAAGAACTCTTGTCTGTTGGAGCTAGGTGTGAAATGTTTCAACTGACCACCTTGATCTTGAGAAAGTACTATGCTTTGACTCATCACACCATAGAAGCCTGGCTCTGCCAAATCTGTGTTAAAGATTCACTATATCACTTTGTGACTTTAAAAAAAAATAGACATTGTGCAGTGACATAGCCTGGAAGTCCCAAACTACTGTTCTCGTGATATTTTAGCTGATGACATGCACACTGATTTTCCGATCACACATAAAAACAGTGCTTCAGCAATGGAAGAAATCAAATAAATAAACAAACACAATTAGAATCCCATGTGTAGTTTCTGTGATGCTTTGCAGATGGATTTGAATGGATTACTGATGGAATGGGGCAAACATCATGTGACCCGTTTGGAATCATTTTCAAAGAGTCTCAGAAATTGAGTATTTCCCAATGTGGTAAAGTTAGAATTATGCATCTTCAGTACCATCCATTCTCAGAGCAGTGATAAGAGGTCTCTATCTAAACCAGTGGTTCTCAACCTGTGGATTCCCAGAAGTTTTGGCCTTCAAATCCCAGAAATCCTAACAGCTGGTAAACTGGCTGGGATTTCTGGGAGTTGTAGGCCAAAATGCCTGGGGACCCACAGATAGAAAACCACTGAACTAGACCCCTATCTAGTTTTAACCAAACATACTATTGACTGAACCTGTGTCCTCCTCCCCACAGAATGAGTCTACTGATCAGAGCTTTGAGGCTATTTTCCCAGAATGTTTCCATCAGCATTATCGGAAAAGGAATGTTTCTAAGCTTTTCTTCACTCTGCTGTTGCTAAGATCTGATCCGCATCCAACATTTTTTTACACCTTATAGCAGTGGTTCTCAACCTTCATAATGCCATGACCCTTTAATACAGTTTCTCATGTCGTGGTGACCCCCAACCACATTATTTTCGTTGCTACTTCATAACTGTAATTTTGCTCCTGTTATGAAACATAATGTAAATATCTGATATACAGGATGTATTTTCCTTCACTGAACGAAATTTGGCACAAATATCTGATACGCCGACATTTGAATGCTGTTTGGGTTGGGGGAGGATTGATTTTGTCATTTGGGAGTTGTAGTTGCTGGGGTTTATAGTTCACCTACAATCAAAGAGCATTCTGTACTCCACTAATGATGGAATTGAGCTAAACTTGGCACACAGAACACCCACGTCCAACAGAAAATACTGGAAGGGTTTGATGGACATTGACCTTGAGTTTGGGAGTTGTAGTTCACCTACATCTAGAGAGCACTCAAACAATGATGGATCTGGACCAAACTTGGCACTGATACTCAACATGCCCAAATGTGAACACTGGTGGAGTTGGGGAAATCAGACCTTGACATTTGGGGGTTGTAGTTGCTGGGATTTCTAGTTCCCCTACAATCAAAGAGCATTCTGAACCCCACCAAAGATAGAATTGGGCCAAACTTCCCACACAGAACCCCCCATGACCAACAGAAAATACTATGTTTTCTGATGCTCTTCAGTGTCCCCTCTAGCACCCCCTTGCGACCCTCTCAGGGGTCCCAACCCCCAGGTTGAGAAACACTGCCTTATAGCAAATCATGCACACACAGACTGTTCAGGAGCCTGGGTTGTTGTAGGTTTTTTGGGCTGTATGGCCATGTTCTAGAGGCATTCTCTCCTGATGTTTCGCCTGCATCTGTGGCAGGCATCCTCAGACCTCATAACCTCTGAGAATGCCTGCCACAGATGCAGGCAAAACATCAGAAGAGAATGCTTCTAGAACATGGCCATACAGCCTGAAAAACCTATAACAACCCAGTGATTCTGGCCATGAAAGACTTCGACAATATATTTAGGAGCCATTTTACCAGTTGGGTGTTCAATTTTATTGCCAGGAACAGAGCTACTCAATGTCCCTGTTTTCCAGTATTACTTTTCACTGTTTTTCTATTGCATGAATATCACATTCTCCAAAGGCAGGACTGGAAGGGTGATGCTGTATACATATATCGAGCAATTCAAATAAATAATGCTTGTGTAGGCCATCTGCCATAGAAATATGTGTGCTAATGTTTTCTTAAGCAAGGGAACTTTTAGATTATATTGAAATAGGAATATTATGTCTTGAAGCAAGTAAAGCACAAACTAACATGCTAGAGCAGGCATGGGCAAACTTTGGCTCTCCAGGTGTTTTGGACTTCAACTCCCACAATTCCTAACAGCCTACCGGCTGTTAGGAATTGTGGGAGTTGAAGTCCAAAACACCTGGAGAGCCAAAGTTTGCCCATGCCTGCTCTAGAGCTAGGATTAGGCAAATCTGTACTTAACAGTGCAAGTGTATGCTTGATTAAGAATTAGATATATTTTATATATGTCCACTGATGACCACACTTGTGGATTAAATGAACTGTTGATGTTACTCATAGTATATGAGAGGAAAAACTGAGTTATAGCAGCCTTTCCAACCTCATTTCCCTTAGATGTGTTGGACTAAAGCTTGTGCCATTATTAGCAGGCATGGCAAATACCAAGTTGGAGGAGACCAGTTCGCTAGGCATGCTTCAGTAGAGAGTTTAACTACTTGATGATCCTTTTCCAGCTTTCGTTTCCATGAGGATGTTCTGTATAGCTCATTAAAACCTTTTCTTAAAGTATATATACATCAGAGTAGTAGACTTTAGGAAAACATGAACTGTATCGCTGAGCAGTTAAGGCTTCAAGGGGTGTTTCTTCTGCAAGAGCAAATCAGATGATCTCCCAACGCTGCTGGAGTTGCTACAGGGGTCTTCAGATCCATTCATGGAGAAGGGACAAGCCAATGCCATTCAACGTCCCATCTATTTCTGTTTCTGAAAGTGGTCTTTGTACATGCTGTAGACAGCGCCTGGAGGGGAGAAAGAGAGAGCCATATCAATCCGGAACTGGGCCATAAGAAATGCAATGCTTTTTGTCTCCACTGGAGAATTTTGCATAACGTTGCCTTTGTTCGTTGCAAGGGGCAATCTAACTATCCAAAGCACTATGAAGTCATCTACTCCACTCCTTACAAGTTCTCTATCACTTCCTAATTTCATGTTCAGATGTCTTCCAACCATACATGCTGAAAATAGTTGAAATCTTCAGCCTTCTAACCATAGTATAGTCCTCACACAATTCTGCAATTGACTCCAATATTGTCCAATAAAATTCCCACCTGGTGGCTGTCTCTCCAGCTCGCGCTCTGATCTTGAAGGAAAATTGCAACTTTTTATGCAAAAGGCAAGAATATTCAGGTTCTGTCCTCTGTTTCATAGACTAGCCACCTACATCTTTCCTCTACTTTGTCATAACTCATAGTTAAATACAAAACATAACAATTTATTTATTATTTATTTACAGTATTTATATTCCGCCCGTCTCATCCCACAGGGGACTCAGGGCGTATTACAATTAAAATATACATGGCAAACATTCAATGCCATAGACACACAATATATATAGGTAAAGGTAGTCCCCTGACATTAAGTCCAGTCATGTCTGACTCTGGGGTGTGGTGCTCATCTCCATTTCTAAGCCGAAGAGCCAGCGTAGTCCGTAGACACCAAGGTCATGTGGCCAGCATGACTGCATGGAGCGCCGTTACCTTCCCGCCGGAGCGGTACCTATTGATCTACTCACATTTGCATGTTTTCGAACTGCTAGGTTGGCAGAAGCTAGGGCTGACAGCGGAAGCTCACGCAGCTCCCCGGAATCGAACCTGCGACCTTTCGATCAACAAGCTCAGCAGCTCAGTGCTTTAACCCACTGCGCCACCGGGGGCTCCACAACATATATACGAAGAGTATACTCCACAGCATATATACGAGGAGTATTTTTTAAGTAAGTTCCGTTTTGTTGTAGACACTAGTAGTTCGCACGCATACCGCAACGAGCATGTGCGTCGTGTACCGGCATACCTCGGGAACAACTGTGCTCAGTTTCCGCTCTGTAGCTAACCTGAATGGTTCTGTTCTGTGCTTTAAAAATGTTTAAGACTATCAACTCACCCGCCGCATGTGAGGTTCGCTTGTTATACGGTTTTTGTCAGCAAGGAACCTGCCTGCTGCAAAAATTCATCGACAGATTTGTGAAGTGTACGGTGATACTGTTATGAGTGAAAGCAAAGTGCGTAAGTGGGTACGACAGTTCAAAGATGGCCGTGACAACGTCCATGATGAGGACCGCTCCAGTCGCCCTTCTTTGATTACAGATGATTTGGTGGCTTCAGTTGAAGCGAGGATTCATGAAGAGGGTATTTTAATTATAAGTGTTTGAACAAACTTGGCAACTATGTCGAAAAATAGAGTGAAGTATGTACTTTCTGAAAATAAATTTACTTTTTTGAAATAAACTTTCGTTGTGTACTTATGTTCAAACGGACCTTACTTAAAAAATACCCCTCGTAGACAGACACAGGGGCATTTTAACAGTCCAGCTTTTCTTGAGTGTATTCTGGCCACCAGGGGAGCTGTCCCTTCACCAACCATTTGTGACACTGTATTGTCGAAGGCTTTCATGGCTGGAATCACTAAGCTCTTGTGAGTTTTTTTGGGCTATATGGCCATGTTCTAGAGGCATTTCTCCTGACGTTTCGCCTGCATCTATGGCAAGCATCCTCAGAGGTAGTGAGGTCTGTTGGAACTAGGAAAAGAGGTTTATATATCTGTGGAATGACCAGGGTGGGACAAAGGACTTTTGTCTGCTGGAGCTAGGTGTGAATATTTCAACTGACCACCTTGATTAGCATATAATGGCCTGACAGTGCCTTGAAAGGTAATTAGATGTCCTTGTTTGGTTCCTCTCTGCTGTTTTTGCTGTTGCAATTTTAGAATTTTTTAATACTGGTAGCCAGATCTTGTTCATTTTCATGGTTTCCTCCTTTCTGTTGAAATTGTCCACATGTTGTGGATTTCAATGGCTTCTCTGTGTAGTCTGACATGGTGGTTGTGAGAGTGGTCCAGCATTTTCTGTGTTCTCAAATAAATGCTGTGTCCAGGTTGGTTCATCAGGTGCTCTGCTATGGCTGATTTCTCTGGTTGGAGTAGTTTGCAGTGCCTTTCATTTGTGACACTGATTAAGTACTTCGTCATTCTTTACATGCTTGCTGGAGATTTTTATGACCTCATAAATTAGTTAAATTTGCCTCCCCGCATAAGCAGTACCTTACTTTCCAACTTGACAGATGCAAGTGTCTTTCGGGCTACAAAGGTCGACAGCAAGCTACACAAATTGGTCAGATGCTCATTCCAACCCGGGCTGGCTTTGAACTCATGACCTTTTGGTCAGTAGTGATCTTAATGCAGCTGACTCCCAGCAGTCACAAGAGCTTATGCCCCTGACAGCTACTTGTGGAAACTGGCTTCCATTCTTCTGGACATACAGTCTTCAAATGGAGATGTATGATACTTGGTCAACTTGACCATCGTGAGGATAAATTTAAATTTTACTAATTTGCATGCAGGAATTAACAAGTTTGACTCTGCACAGGGGTAAAAAACCTGGAAATAGTTGATAAGTTTTTCTTCGGATAGATTGTCTCAGTACGTTGAGGCTCCCTTTCTCATCAAGGATCCTTAGCCTATAGTACATCAAATGTACTCAAAGGGGAACTCTTTTCATTCAGGCCGAAGTGTCTAAAATGCTATCTATAAAAGCCTCTTTATACCAGTGAGATCAAAGTTAATTGCCAAGATATGTGTTTGTCAGTGAGAAAGGTTTGAAAGCCCTCAGGTCTGTTTGAATGATTCCAAGCGACCTGTTACCTATGTGGGAAATTGCTGAGAGTCAAATTGACAGCTTTAAGGTCTATTGTCCATCTCTTCTCACAACCTGCCACTAACTTACCAAGGGTTACGGCTCCGACTACACAGGCCTGGGCAGCTACCCGAGTGTGAATCAGATGGACAGACATCTTCATGCTCCCTCTTCCCTTCAGTCGGTAAAGGCCACAGGCTGCCACAACAGCAAACCCCATCATGCCTGCAGAGTCAGAGAAACCACGGAATCACAGCAAACATGGGAAACCTTTTTTAAAAAATTCAAGGGCTGGGTCCTCTCAGCAGTAATCTTCTAAAGACTGGGCATTAGCAATAGAGCTGAATATCTTTCTCACACCTCCTTTATTCTCCTTGCCTGCCCACCAACCTGCTTAGAGAGAGACTGATTATTCTTGTTAGAAGTATAAATTAATTACAGGAATATTTTGGAAAGGAGAAAATAGAAGGGGATCTTGTGCTGTCGTATTGCCCACCTCTTTCATTTATAAGGTATGACATATTTTGTACCCTAATAATAATTTAAATACTCTTATACTTCAGGGATTCTTCCTAATTTGTACTATCACTTTTATCCTGCTTACATGACATAGCATATCACACTCAAAATGAGAAGCAAACATGAATAGAGTGGGTTGTAGGTTTCTCGGGCTATGTGGCCATGTTCTAGAAGCATTATCCTCGGAGGTTGTGAGGTGAATAGAGTGTTTTGTTGTCTGGATCCTTTACGTATTGTTTCTTATAATATTTATTTATTTACGATATTTATAGCCCACCTTTCTCAGCCATACGGCAGCTCAAGGCAGATTACAGATTGGCACAATTCAGTGTCAAGCATTCATAAAAGTTCCATTAAAAACAATCAACATTACAATATAAAACATAAATAAAAACCGTGAAAGCATATAATCATCGGTGTCATCTTGTTAAAAATGTTATCTAGTAACATCGTCTGGCCATTCCATGTTCATCATTCATAGTTCTGTGTTATCTATTCCACTGCATTCTCAGAAGCTTGCTCAAAGAGCCAGGTCATTACTTTTTTTCGGAAAGTCAGGAGGGAGGGGGCTGATCTAATATCCCTGGGGAGGGAGTTCCATAGCCGGGGGGCCACCACTGAGAAGGCCCTGTCCTTCATCTCTGCCAATCACTCTTGCGAGGCAGGCGGGATCAAGAGCAGGGCCTCCCCAGACGATCTTAAGCTCCTAGATTTATTTATTTTATTTATTTATTTACTTTATTTATATACCGCTTTTCTCAGCCCTCAGGCGACTCAAAGCGGTGAACAACATCAATACAAAACATCACGAGACAAGTATAGGGCAATTAAAAACAATTGTAACATAAATCATTAAACATCCATATAACAATCATTAGCGCCTCAACAGTAAAATCAGAATCCAGTCTCATCATCCATTATTCCGTATTCCTATGTTCAATTACACTGTTTAATCAAATGCTTGGGGCCGATCTGATATCTGCAGGCAGGGCGTTCCACAGCCGAGGGGCCACCACTGAGAAGGCCCTGTCTCTCGTCCCTGCCAAGCGCACCTGTGATGCAGACAGGACAGAGAGCAGGGCCTCCCCAGATGATCTTAGTGTCCTAGCCGGTTCATAGGAGGAGATGCGTTCAGAGACGTAAGTAGGGCCAGAGCCGTTTAGGGCTTTATAGGCTAACGCCAGCACTTTGAATTGTGCCCGGTAGCAAACTGGCAGCCAGTGGAGCTGGCGCAACAGAGGAGTAGTATGCTCCCTGAGTGCCGCTCCTGTTAGCAACCTGGCATGCCGAACGCTGGACCATTTGAAGCTTCCGAGCAGTCTTCAAAGGCAGACCCACGTAGAGAGCGTTGCAGTAGTCTATACAGGATTTAACCAGAGCGTGGACTACCGTGGCCAAGTCAGACTTACATGGTTCATAGGAGGAGATACGTTTGGACAGGTAAAGACAAAACTGTCAGAAGCACTACAATTAGACCTGCCTTTGGTTTTAGAAAAGAAGATTCAAGTTGGGGATGGAGTTAGAGACCACAAAGAACAATAGTATCGGCTTTCAAAATAAAATCCTTGGGGAAGGGCCCATAGCTTAGTGGCTGAGTACAATTTGTACACAGAAGGCATAACTCTAAGTTCCAAGCAGTATCATTTGAATGGTAGAAGTCTCTCCAATGCAAAGCTCTCCAGATTTTCAGACAACAACTCCTATCTTCCCTGCTTGTTGAAGTTTGGGTGGATGGGATTCCGGTGCAATCCAGGATAGACAAACCGATGATCTGACTCAATAGAGATTATTTTCCACTCTTTATACAGCTAAATTGGCAATCCAGCACATTTTTAGGTCAATGATCAAACCTACCCTTTCATCCTTATCCCATGAAAATCTATGAATGTTCAGGGAAAAAAATAGTTTCCTGGCTGTCTTCAGCAGCAGGAACACCCTGAATGAACAATTGGTTTGGCACGACTCTTCCTTGCACATATTCTTTTTAAAGAACACCTAACTCTTAAATGCCCTGCTGGGAAAAGATCACAAAAAGAAAAGTTGGGAATGGCATTTTCCAAAACTTACCAATTGGCACCAAAGGGCTCTTCCGTGCCTTTTGTAGAAATTTAGTGCCAACTGTCGTTTCTTGTTCTGGAATCCAGTTGCTTTTATCTGCCGACATTGGAAGCTGAAGAAACAGATTTCCAGATGAAAAATTATTGCCTAATATTATACTGTATCCTCTAGATATAAAGGCAGTCCCTGAGTTACAAACATGTGACTTACAAGTGACTCATAGTTAAGAACAGGGGTGAGACAACAGGAAATGAGAGAAATCTACCCCTAGGAAGGGAAATTCACTCCTGAAAGAGTTATCATAGGGAAAAGGTGTCTCCACTGAAGCTTTCTCACCAATCCTTGTTTCACAACAAGCCAAATATTTCAAAACCCAATTATCACAGGGACAGAAAGTGAGGTAAAATCTTCTGAACAGGGGCACAGACAGCACAAGGTGTTAACCCTTCCCTATGCTATCCAAAGCTAATCTGTATAAATAAAAATGTAATGTTCGTTTGTGGGATTAACAGAACTCAAAAACCACTGGATGAATTGACACCAAATTAGGACACAAGACACCTAACAACCCAATGTATGTCCTTCACTTTAAAAAAATGGATTTTGTCATTTGGGAGTTGTAGTTGCTGGGATGTATAGTTCACCTACAATCAAAGAGCATTCTGAACTCCACCAACGATGGAATTGAACCAAACTTGGCACACAGGACTCCCATGACCAAGAGAAAATACTGGAAGGGTTTGGTCGGCAGTGTCCTTTGGTTTTGGAGTTGTAGTTCACCTACATGCAGAGAGCACTGTGGATTCAAACAATGATGGATTTGAACCAAACTCTACACAAATACTCAATATGCCCAAATGTGAACACTGGTGGAGTTTGGGGAAAATAGAATCTTGATATTTGGAAGTTGTAGTTGCTGGGATTTGTAATTCACCTACAATCTCAGAGCATTCTGAATCCCACCAATGATAGAATTGGGCCAAACCTCCCACACAAAACCAGAGTGGGCCACTGCATCGCGTGGCAGGGGATAGCTAGTCTATATAAATAAAAATGTAATGTTCGTTTGTGGGATTAACAGAACTCAAAAAGCACTGGGGGAATTGACACCAAATTTGGACTCAATACACTTAAAATCAATGTATGTCCTTCACTCATAAAACACAGCAGAAGGGACTTAAAAGCCCCCAAAAGCTAAAGACGAAAAGCTAAATGACAATACAGAAAAAGGGAAGAAAGAGGAGGGAAGGGGAGAGAAGAAAGAAGAAAGAAAGAAAGAAAGAAAGAAAGAAGAAAGAAAGAAAGAAAGAAGAGAAAAAAGGGAGGGAAAGAAAGAAGAAAGGAGAAGGAAGATGGAAGCAAAGGAAGAAGGAAGGAAAGGAAAGAGGTAGAGAAGGAAGAAAGAGAGAAAGAGGGAGGGAAAGAAAAGAGGGAGGAGAAAGTTAGAGAAGGAAGGAGGAAGGAAAAGGGGAAAGAAGGAAGAAGAGGGAAGAAGAAGGGAAGGATGAGAGAAAGAGGGAGAGGAAAGAAGGAAAGAGAGGAAAGAAAAGAAGAAAAGAGAAAGAAAAGGAAGGAAGGAAAGAGAAGAGAAGGAAAAGAGAGGAAAGGAAGAAGGAAAGAGGGAGGAAGGAAGGGAAAGAAGGAGAGAAAGAGGGAGAGGTTGGTCACAGCAACGCGTGGCAGGTACAGCCTAGTCTATATAAATAAAAATGTAATGTTCATATTGTGGGATTAACATAACTCAAAAACCACTGGATGAATTGACACCAAATTTGGACCAATACACCTATCAGGCCAACAAGTGAATCACTCATAAAAACAAAAAAAGAGGGAAGAGAGAAGAAAGGAAAGGGAAAAAGAAAAAGGGAGGGAAGGAAGTGGGGAAGGAAGGAAAAATGTATCCGGCCAACCAGGGACCATCACTCATAAAAACACTGAAAAACACAGCAGAAGAGGATTAAACAGCCAAAAAACAAAAAAAATACATTGCAACGCATGCGCAAAACCACATATATACACAAACACACATATAATACACAAAACACATATACACAGCAATGCATGGCAAGGGACAGCTAGTATATACATATTTTTGCTGGAATTACACTTACAAATTTCTCTGTTCCAACTTACATACAAATTCAACTTAAGAACAAACCTACAGAACCTATCTTATTTATAACTTGGGGACTGCCTGTACTTGGGTTTTGCTGATGGCAATCATATTTTTAAAGTCACATTTATAACAGATAGTAAGGTTGACATTCGGTCAAAGTGTATAAACACTAGACAACATCCTAAGTGCTGTAAACATTTAAAGAAGTCCAGATTTGTCCATTTCTCCTTTGGATCTTTGAATATGAAGTCTGCCTCTCAATCACTGCTCAGGGTTATGAACCCTGAAAAACAGAAAGTTATCGAATAGGACTACCCTACAGATTAATACACTCAAATACTCGAGGAGACCCCGCAACGTGGCAGCTTCATACAAAGTTATGCCTTCGCTCAAGAGCTCCATTGGCAACTCACCTGCTAAGCTGGCCTTATTTCAAATCTTGCTCACTTAACTTTCCCACAGGAGTTATAGTCTCCTGTTTGCTTGTGCAGAGATATCTCCTTGAAGTCATCCTAAGCAGGGTTGTTTTGAAAGGGCTGCTTGGGTCTCTTCCCATTCTGTCACGTTAAGGTTAGAATCAGAGTCCCCACACTAGCCATTTCCTTGATGTTCAAGCAGGGAGATTGGCCTATGGCTGGCAGCTTATTATGTGTTTGCTTGTTTTTAACTCTTGCTCTGCCCATTATCATTCCACTGCAAATTATTAGGTAGTCAAGATCAAGAGGAAACCATAGCTTATCTGAGCAAAGGAAATGTGGAAAGTACTAAAGTGGGGGAGAATGTTCTTGAGATGAGGCTACAGGATTACTTACTTAGGCAATTCTTCATTGTCCGAGTAGGATAGTCTTCCAAGATTAGTGTACTGTGGGTCTATAGGTGACTGTGGAGCCCTATTCGTGACCGGCATCTTCTCCCGCAGTGAGGGCATTGGTTTCCAGGTGGAAGGCGGTCTCGGTCGGGGTTGGCTTGACGCGCCTTCCTCTTGACACGTTTCTCTCTTTCGCCCTCCATTTGTACCTCTTCAAATTCTACAGCACTGCTGGTCACAGCGGACCTCCAGCTGGAGCGTTCAAGGGCCAGAGCTTCCCAGTTCTCAGTGTCTATACCAGAGTTTTTAAGGTTGGCTTTGAGCCCATCTTTAAATCTCTTTTCCTGCCCACCAACACTCTGTTTTCCATTCTTGAGTTCGGAGTAGAGCAACTGCTTTGGGAGATGGTGGTCGGGCATCCGGACAATGTGGCAGGTTCAGCAGAGTTGGTGGCAGAGGACCGTCGCTTCAGTGCTGGTGGTCTTTGCTTCTTCCAGCACACTGACATTTGTCCGCTTGTCTTCCCAAGAGATTTGCAGGATTTTCTCAAGGCAGCGTTGATGGAATCATCTCAGGAGTTGCATGTGACATCTGTAGACAATTCATGTCTCGCAGGCATATAGCAGGGTTGGGAGGACAATCGCCTTATAAACAAGCACCTTGATATCACTATGGATGTTCCGGTCCTCAAACACTTCATTCGGAAAAAAGCTGCACTCGCAGAGCTCAGGCGGTGTTGTATTTCAGTGTCAATGTTGACTTTTGTAGAGAGGTGGCTGCCAAGGTAGCGGAAATGGTCAACATTTTCTAATGTAACACCATTAAGCTGTATCTCTGGTATTGTAGAGGGATTGGCTGGTGACTGCTGGAAGAGCACTTTGGTTTTCTCAATGTTCAATGACAGGCCGAGCTTCTCATATGCTTCTGTGAAGGTGTTTAGAGTGGCTTGTAGGTCTTCTTCTGAATGTGCACAGACAATGTTGTCATCAGCATACTGGAGTTCTATAACAGATGTTGTTGTAACCTTGGTTTTGAGGTTAAATAGCTTGCCATCTGTCCGAGAGATGATTTCCACTCCGGTGGGAAGCTTCCCGTCAACAAGATGAAGTATCGTAACGATGAAGATGGAGAATAAAGTTGGAGCAATAACACATCCCTGTTTGCCACCTGATTCCACCTTAAATGGGGCGCTTTGGGTTTTGAGGCTACAGAACACAAAATCCAAACAGTTTAGTAAGTGAGCATAAGATAGGACATAAGATGTTACATGGAGGAGATTCTGAAAAATGCAGCCACATTGGGTACAGTACAGTATAATGACAACTTGAGCCTTTCCAGACAGAATGCAACTGTTTCATCCTTAATGAATTTTCCCTGTTGAGAAGAAAACATGAAGGAAGCAGTGGGAAAGGATGTGGGAGAGGTACTGATGGGAAATGATATTGCATAATAAATGCCTTATGTTTGGATAAGGAACAAATTGCTTTCTCAGTGCCAAACGAGATAAGAGACTTCAGTGCTAGACTGCAACTTTGAAGACCAGGGTCCAAATCTCTACACTGAGTGACCTTTGGCACAAGTCACACTGTCTCAGATGCTAAATAACTCTTGCCAAGAAAATCCTGCGATAAATTCACCTAAGAATCACCATACATCAGAAATGACTTGAAGACACAAAACAACAGATTTGCAGCTCCAGCTTTCTCATGAGGATAAGCTTGCTTGGATTTATATTTTGGACAACTTGGTGTTAGATTGCATTGAGACTGAAATATCCTTGAATAATTTTCCATAGAATTCTCGTTAATCACCACCTGACATCCACCGGAAAGTAGCAGTCAACAATTAAAGGACCAAGACATTGACATCTCCGGCTTATCCTCTGTTCAGATATCAGCCAACAAGCCAATGCTTTAAATCAAGAAACAACTTAATTCAAGAAACAATAGAAATACTTGCGGAACACCTCAGCAAGTGAGAGTCCAAAAGTGGCAGGCTAAAACCCGGAACCTCAATCAGTGGTTGGTACTAGATGAGAAACCCACAAACCCACCCCCAGGCACACAGAAGACTGGGCGCTGAACAGACTGTACTCTGGGATCACGAGATGCAGAGCCAGACTTAAGAAATGGGACTTCAAAATGGAGTCCATGACATGTGAGTGTGGAGAAGAGCAAACCACAGACCA